TTAAAATACTCTACTAAGTAACAGGGCTACCTTTTTGGCACACCTAAAATAGAAGCATGTGCCATCTTTTTTGGAACGGAATGCATTTATATTTAGAGAAAGGAGGAGTTGATGTATACATGCTTCGAATTATCTACCAAGTCTATATGACCATGTAAAACATGGATAACAGATTTAATTTTCCAAAATATTTAGCCCTAGTTTTCAGACTCTGTGATTGATGATTCAGCATGATGCAACAGACCTAACAAGAACAAGGGCATTAGGGCAAACGTTCTGGCTAAAGAAAAAGGTCAAAGATCATCCGTTAACTAACTAAATTGAAACCAGAAGAAAGTAGTACATGAATCATGCTCGTATGAAGAAACATTGAATTTTCATGGTAGAGGCTGCAATGGAACAAATTTACACTTCAAATGGTGGGGAGAAGAGCAAAAAGGTATCAGTAAAAGATAACCACAAATCACAGACAATAACAAGACAAATTGCACCTGTCATCACTGCCAACAATGCCCTTGCACTCAACTGGTGCAGCTAGTTTAAATACATTGCCAGCTCCATCAAGTACAGTGTGCTCCTTCAGATGAAGACGCTTAGCAGCTTCTAGTACCTATGAAATAATTGTAGAACAAAAAATTACCAACTTTTCGAGCACAATTTGATAAACATTAGAAGTTTCAAAAGATCAACAGAGAGAAAGCCGCCAAAGCACCAACATAGGCCGTCACTCCAGGCTATTTGAAAGATCGTGCTGTACATAAGAGCACGAAACTGGCCATTACAAAGTTATTAGAACCTAAAATAGTGACAGAGAAGGTAGGCTCTTTTCTAACAAAGAACACCACTTCAATGCATTTCCAAACCTAAAGTGCAAAAGTAAGTGATAGTAACAAGAACGAGTGCAACTTTTAGCGGTGCTATCAATGGCAGATTGCAGCTCATGAGGCAAGCAAAAAAAACTGCTATATATTTACAGCGGATGTCGTAGCGGAAAATGGCGGCTTAAAAATCATAATTTTTTTACATATATTTATACACACTAAAATATGCATAAACATGTATAACACCATAGTTAAATTTTAAAACATGTCACTAAATTCATAAAAAAAAAAAAAAAAAAAAAAAAATAAAAAAATAAAAACCTGAAACCAAAAGAAAGCAATTAGATAAAGTGCTTCAAAATAAGGAAGATTTTTTCTTTTAACAAAAGACAGCTGAAAATTAAAATAAATACATAAAGAGCTAAACAATAAAGGACAAAAAGAAAAAATGAAGTTTCATTATCATTTAATGTTACAATAAACAGATATTAAAACAAATAAATAAAAAGCTGAAAAAATAAAGGCAGCCAAAAGCCGTTAGTAAAAGTAGCAAACAAAACAGTAAAAAAAAGGATAAAAGGTAGGGAAAAATAAACAAATAGGGAAAAGAAAAAAAAAAGTAAAAGAGAAATAAGGGAGGCCGGAGGGAGGGTCCCCAATTATTTTTTGCTTCTTTTTTACTGCAGAATATGTGCGGTAACTGCAATTTTCCACCATCAGCGTGAAATCGCCATGGCCATTGGCCGCCATGCTCGTGGTGGCTGCAATGAGAAAAATCAAACTCTACTCCAGAAACTACATAGCATTCTCGGCCCAAAAATCCAAAAAGGTGTTCACCGTATTTTCCTCAAATCGGTTACTGCTAACATTCTCAAAAAGCAACCCCATCATAAAAATCCCTATATCTCGTTTTTCCATAACTGAAACGAGCACCATGCATCTTCTTGAAAAAAAAATGGAAAATCTATCTGACAACTTGATTGTAAACTTTGGTACACATTGCAATATCTTATACATCTGCACAGACCATCTCAAAGTCCAAAGATAATATAAATTTTGATAAATAATATTAAAAACAAATACACGCACGGCATGCATCCTCAAACTTCTCTGGAAGGGGAAAAAAAAAAACATGTTTATTTCAGCATACAAATACAAAAATAATTACAAGCAGTTACTAAGTTCTTTAATCTCTGCCTCCCTCAAAATATTTCTTCAGTCAATGGGTTACTCCCATAAATTTAAATGGCAAGTGGTGATCCAAGGCAATTTGCCATTGAAGGGCCACGAGGCAAGAACCTCGGCAACACAAGGCACCTAAGCGTAAAAAGCTGTAAAATATATAGTGAAAGTACGCAATTACATTACGTTCAAATGACAAAATCAAACATCAAATTCCTAAAAAACATGTTATTAGAAACTGTAGCAAAATAAAATTGGAACAAAAAAATAACATCAGAACATAAAATAAACTAAATTAAAAGGCAAAAAAATAGAAAATCAAGACAGAAAATTAAATTAAAATATGTACAGAAAAACTAAAAAAATATGAAAATAAAAACGAAAACAGAAACTAAAGTGACAAGGAAAAAACTGAAAACTAAAATAAAGAAAGTAAGACGAAATTATGAAAAGCAGCTGAAATCCAGAAAACCTACTCAACATCATAATTTGTCACAACACACCACCAGAAAAATGATAATTACTATTTTCAACAAACTCTGAACATGACATCAGCAATGTATTTGAAAAATAATCAGTGGTCTTTCCCGAAGACCCAATTCCATCTTCCTCAATATTATCATTCACACTCTTCCCACCCCACGTCCACTATATCAAGAAAGAGACCGAAAGAGTGGGTGAAAAGTGAAAATCAATAATCATAATAAATAAATAAATAAATAAAAGAAGAGCACACAATTTCACAAACAATGAAAAAACGAACACAAAGAAATGTGATTCATGCGCAACTTCCAAGCTTATCTGCAACCTCCTGAAAATCTTCACCCTGATAACCCTAACCCTTACCTACCCCCTTATCGTCCTAGCCCACGAGGTCAGGGATGGATCAACTGTAGGTTTCTCTCATTTTCAGATCTAAGTAGCTTATGGAGGTATTTTTCCCTCATAGAAAAACCCAAGTTTTGTTTTAAATTTAAGCACGTCTTAAAACTGTACAGACAGGGAAAGGGGCGCCTCTGCATCGCCTTGAAAGTAGGAACGGCTCTGTGACGTTCTACAAGGCACTGGCCTCGGCAACAGGGCCAAATATGGCCAGGGCAATATGATTTCAGATCGCACTTGTCACCTCTGACCATGGCGATGCCATTTAAAGGTTACTCCTATTATGTTCAGGGTACTGTGTTAAGGAAGACTTGGCTATCCTTCACCAATTAATAAAAATGATTTTAATGAGAAGTTCATTTTAATAAAGAAATAATGGTTATGGATTACTAAGCACACCAATGAGAATTAAAAAGCTCAGCAATATAAGTCAACTACTGATGAGAATTTGAGAAATGCTTTTTTGAATGGAGCTTCTCATTGGATAGAAAAGGCAATATAAAAGAAAAAATAAATCAGGACAACCATAAAGTTCAACTTATAAGCCTGGTGAAATAAAATGTTCAATTTATAACAAAAAACTATAAGTACGTGAGCCACATATTCAATACTAAGAAAACCTATGGGAATAAGAAAAGAGAATTATTAGTTTGTATAATATGTCCATGAGAAAGGTAAGGCAGCAGTAGCACTCGAGACAAAGGGTCATGTCAGAAGCTGGAAAAATATTTGAGAAAGGCCTAGAAAGTAAATGAAACTTTATGTTACTTTCGTAGTAAAATTGGTTAGATCCTCCTACCTTGGAATGAAAATCTTCACTCCAGCAAATTTTCTTGCCGTTGTCAACAGATCCATAGAGAAGGGAGTCCGACTTGTCACCTTGGAGGATTCCAGGCAACACACTCTGGCAGCAAAAGAAAAATAAGCAGTTGAGACAAAGTGTGACACACCAATAACTAACATTTTAATGCTCAATCTAATACATTAAAACAAAGTCTTCAGATAAAAGAGTGGCATGGACAATTACATAAATCAGAATTTGTTGGTCATTCAAAAAGATTTTGAGAACTCCAGACCAGCGGAACAGAAAGCGACATTATTGACATGGCACAATATGCAAGCAAAAAGAACTAAGAGTGGTCTTCTGTGGTAAAAAAAGGAGGGGCGGAAAAATCAATAAATGCAACACAGGTACGTATGCTCCTCCCCAGTTAGCAAAGACATGGAATCTGATAAAATATACGAGGCCCAATGAGAAATAAGTGTTAGCAGATGTGCACCTGCGCAACAACTCTGTGACCTCTATAATCAATAATGGTCATAGCAAGATTGTACAAGCCAGGAACATCAGCTTCCTGGTATGCCTTGGTGCCTTTCAAATCATTATTAGCACTAGCATATGTAGCTTGCTCACTTTCAGCCAGCTGAGACTCTGCAGGCATGTCAGGGGAAATTGCATCAGTGCCACTAGTGTTTTCCATGTTTGGATTAGCTGATACATCCACATGCGGCGGATTGCCATTCAAATGCGACAGATTGTTTCCCAATATCTTGGTATCACCCTGTGAAGAAGCTGTGCCCTGGAGTTTAGAGTGGACTTCCGATACCTGCTTCCGAGTCAATAGCTCAATGTCCGCATCAACGGCAAAACTAAAGAATATGTTGTTGTGGACATACCTAAAAGGCAACAAAAATGGGATATTGTCATTGATTGAGCACATAGTATGAATTTAAGGTGTCATGAGGGAATTACAATCATGAAAGTTATAAAACAAGGCTTAGAAATTGATACACAGAAAAAAAAACTTACAGTACCAACATGTAAATGGATATTCCTGTTTATATAATGGTAAAAGCCATATAAATTACATAGGGATGCAGCACAAAAAAATTGCTAACAGAAGTGTCCCAGTAAGGGAAGCTGTGAGTTCTGTCGTGGTCCTCTTTGAATTTTTCCAATATAAGACAGATCCACACCACAAAAGGAATACAGAAAAGGTGAAATCAAATAGACCAATGGACAGACTCAGAAAAAAATAAAAATAAAAAAATTCTGCTTTTGAAAATGAAGGCTCATACAAAGTACTCACATATGAAAGCACTCAGGGTCAGTTGGGTTAATAGGTAGAATACATCTACTTATCACTCCAATAGCACCGCTAGTTGCAGCTTCAACAAAATCAGAAGTGACCTTGTAAAGCGCCCTATCTCTTAAGATCCTGCAAATAATGGGTAAGTAAATACAGGATCTACACCTATGATCTTGCCGCAAATATTACATAATGACTCCAGAAAGAGCACCTTTCCTGATGTGTGGTCTGCGGGAACTCCCGACACGACTGTAACTCTTCATTCCAATCTCGCTGCATACCAATAAGCTCACTTCCAAAGGAAAGAGTATATGAATTCTCTGCTCTTGCTGCATCACGTTTATGATCTGACTCACCACCCATAGGATCAGTTATCAGAATCACGGTAAAACATAAAGAAGAATCATAAATACAAAAACAGGAGGATGTGACAACTAGTTAGGATGTCAAACAAGTCAGGAATATCTGCAATTCAGGAAAATTGAAAACAAACAGGAAAAAAAAAAGGAGAAAATATTTACATGGTTTGGCTCAAGAAATCTGTCTTCAAGTGAAGACGAAGATAAATAATTACATTAGAAAATAGATACATTACTAGACTTTTTTTCCAAATTACTTAGCAGAATTGGAGACTATACTTTTTTGGTATTGAATATACATGATATAAGCGACTAGACATAATTCAACCCACAGCACAGTCAGCACTTGACTTTTGTCTGGTATACTGATTAATAACATTGGCCTGAGAATAAATGATTTCAGCAGAATGCTACAGGGTGGGAGTCCCCAGCAGAAACACATATCTTCCTTGGGAAACTCTGGACAAAGAAGACGAAAGCAAAAGCAAGCATTTCACTATAGGTTATTGTTCCCGAAATCATCAGCATTTCTGTTTGTTTAAAACTTCAAAGAGAAGGAGATAAGGTTGTAACTGTTGCTGGAAATACTTATTCATTGTAGAGAATTCATAAGGGATATGATAAAGAGAGAAATAGCTATGGCTACAAGGAAAAACCCACAGTTGCTAAAGAAATGTTTGGCAATGAAACGATGAAGCAAATACCCATTACAGTTATTGAATTAACCGTACCAGATCAAACAGTTTGATCGGGAATTATTTTGCTCATTAGCCAAATACAGTAAAGGGTCGAGGGTCTCATCTGCAAGCCTACAACTATCAAACTGCTTAATAGTAATGTTTTCATCGTTCATACCAGGAATGGGATACAAGCCCAGCCATGAATTTGGCGGCAACACTGATTGGACATTTTCAAAGGGATGTGCTTGGGCCTTGTGCTCCAACATCTCACGAAAAGCTAGGAAAAGGTGAGAAATACAGTAACAATTTTAAGATCGTTTAATAATCCCACTCAAAATATTTATCTGGTAAAAAATGTCCTAAAAAGCCATACACAAATTTGTGTTACCTTTCTTGAACTTAGGGCTAATCTTCTGCAAAAGTCCAACAAGAGATGTTGCTTCTATATTGTTTTTAGCTGGCCTTGGATCAAGAATGTTTCCTGTGCTTGAGTTAACGTAGAATGTTTTGGTTGTTCCTGTAATACAATATTTATTTCCATCCAGCGTAACCAAATCCAAATATATTAAGTCTCCATAAAGCCTGAACCAATCAAATATAACATTCAGTATGTTAGCATGGTTCTTCCAACAATATAAAAGAACAAAATGGAAAGGACAAGTACAGAGTGGGAAGGAAACTGAAGTAACATATCATAAAATTCTGCACAATAATAAACATGAAGAGTAGTCTTTACAACAACCTTCTGTGGCTTGGAGGAGGATTGAATAAAGAAAAAACTATACTTTCAACACTGTTAATCTCTTTAGAGGGTGGTGACAATAATTTTGTGAGTGAGCCATTTCCCATAAATCCCAATTTATCGAGTTCTGGCACTTCTACTTTCATTGCATCTGCACAAAAAAATAAAAATTTAAAAAGCCACACTAAAAAGAAATTATGGATAAAAATGGAAACACAGGAGCAATCACCAGGAAAGATGATATGAAAACAAACCTCCTGAATTTACAGATGCGTTTTTCACTGTTTCATGTTGTAATGCAAGCATTGTCGAGAGCGAAGAATGCACCGTTGAAGGAGAAAGCAACTCTCTAGTTCGAAGAACATGAGCTCTAATTGAACGATCATCATACAATGCTGCATGAAACAGCTTCATTTAAGTTAGACAACAATAACACTTCAATGCCACATAGAAACATATGTACTCCAATATTTTTCTGTTTGCATAAAACTGATTTTTCTAGCATAACTGGAGCGATAACATAAATTAAGTGATACTTGATGTGCCGCCACTTCAGCACCATGCCCCCCAAAAGATATTTACAAGTTATCAATCTCGAAAAGTGAGAGGAGTATTACGGTAGAGTACAATTGTTAGAAGAAAAATATAAATCCAAATACAAAAGAATTATGTTTTACCAGCAACCATCTCCAGCGAGCAGGAACCACTGGTGATATCAGCAACTTCAGATATATCATTGTAGTCTTCTAGATGATGAATAGAACCATCCTTTGAGTGTAATAACAAATCGTAGCACGTGAAAAAGCATGTCTCCCGTGCATCAAGAAGAAACTGCCTTACATCCATTACAGAATCTCCAGGACTCAACTGCAAATGCATATTATCTTAGAGTTGATAGTTTGTAACATTTAAAAATGTTAAGGTGTTTGGTATTTAATAATAATAAAAAAAAAAAAGAAGAAGAAGAAGGGGGTTGTAAGATCTTTAACTGTTTTAAGTAGTAAAAGCAAAGGAACCAACACTATGATTATTAAAAAAAAAAAAAAGAACTTGTGGTGGGGGTACTTCTTTTTAGGAACTTACAAAAAAATGTGGAGTGGGGATACTTTTATCTTAAGAGCTTATTGTGCAACTTGTAAGCTCTTGTATAAGAAAATATCAAACAATATTTTTATCTTATAAGCTTCATCAGATCTTATACTATATTTTGAAGTGCTTACAACAAGCTCTGCCAAAGACCCTCCACATTTTGCACATAAACAATCGAAGACAGTAATCAAGGAGACCTAGGTCAGCTACTCAAAGGCAGGATTAAAATATACTGAGGCTGAAAGAAAGCACCGAATAAAATGCTTCAAGTTATCAAAATTAATAATCAACTTATAGACTCAACTTACTTGGAGCTCAAGCTTCTCTCCCCCTAGTGTTTTCACCGAAACCGGATAAAGATGAGCATCGCCTGCCTCAAGAAGAAAGTGTTAGTCATTATCTGAAAGTTAACAAGGGATGAGCATGATATGCCAATGCATGAATATGTTATGCAATCTATGCATGTCTGTATGCATTAATTTTCAGAAGTTAGATTTATAGTTTAACCAGCCTAAGTCGAGAAGAAACCACCAGATAGGAGAAAAGAAAATGCAACGTCAAGCAATTTTTTACCGGTTCAGCCTTGTGCACGTTAAACAAGGCTGAACCGGTAACTACTTTATTTTAACATTAAGCTTCCATTTTTGACAAAAAAATAAGATCAAGTCATATATCAACATATAGGAACAGAAAAATGTAGAATATAAAATAAAATAGCTTAATGTCGGTACATATAGGAACAGAAAAATGTAGAATATAAAATAAAATAACTTAATGTCAGTGTCCTGACTACAAATGGATGCAATTAAGACCTTGTTTGCTTGGATGCTGGTCAGATGAGTTTCCCTGGTCCTTCACTTCAGTATTTGTGTCAGTTGACGCTTGTAAGCTTCCATCTCCATTGATCTGCGCAGTTCTCGAACTATCACTCAAAGGAGCATCAGAAGAGATGGCCTGCTCTGAAGAATTCATAGCACCCTGCTGGGACACTTTACGATTCCTCCCCTTATTTGGCTTTCCAGCCATGATTATATCTTGTATCAAGAAATACAATTAGAATTGATATATACAAGGAAA